GTAACGTCGGGTTCCACGGCGTGTACTTCCTGTACATGCTGTTCTGAATGCGTGTCTGCGCACGGTGGTGCGTGCGCAGCCGTGGAGGGAGCGGTTGCGTTCATGTCGCGCACGCCCTCTCTGCCCTCAGCCTTATGCCTCTCTGCCCTATCCCCTCTCCCTCCTCTCCCCCCCTTCTCCCCCCCCTTCTCCTGCCTCCTCCCTCCCTCTTTATGTTTATTGTTGTTTGTTTGTTCCTCTCTCTCTCTCTCTATCCCGTCCCTCTCTCCCTCTCTCTTTCTCTACCTCTTTCATATGCAGTTATTTTTCTTTCTGTCTTTATCTCTCTCTCTCTCTCTTTCTCTCTCCCTCGCTCTCTATCTGTCTGCCTCTAATATACCGCCCCCCTCTTCGCTTCTCTCCTGGCGTTTTCCCTCTTCCTTCCTCCCTCCCCCCCCATTCCTCCCGCTCCCCCACGTTCTCCCCCTCGTCTTTCTGCAGGGCCCACACTAATCCCAATGGCGGACGTGTGCGCACACGAAGGATGGCCCGCTCGTTCAGGTTTGCCTGCCTGTCTAAACCCGCCGCCTCTCGCGATGAGAAATACCCCCCCCCTAAAGGGGGCGTGATCGAAGACGAAAAGGGCGGGCATCGAGGGCGCGGGGAATTCGTTTTGAATGACACGCGGGCAAGTAAGAGCGAACAGTATGATAATGAGTTGTCGTCGTTGTCGTCGTCTTTGTTGTTGTTGACGATAACGACGGGTTTCAGACGCCCCCCCCCCCGGGAAAAAGGAGGGCATCGCATCGCATCGGGCGGGGGGCGCTGCGCCTACGAGATTCCTGCGGGATCCACGGCATTCCTGGGTTCTTGGGGATCCGCCTGGGTTCCTGGAGAATCCTTGGCATCCGAAGGGGTTCCCACGGATGTGCGCGGAATGGTTTGAATTTCTGTTGGTTATTGAGGATCCGTTTGGGTTTTTGTTTCGGGGCCCCAGGGATTTCTAGAAAGGAGTCCTCGGGGAACGTGTGGATTGTTGCGGATGCCATCGGGTTGCTGTGAATCCCCAGTGGATTCGGGTTCCCATGGATGCCCCGACGGAGCCCGAAACATTCCGCATAACTCAGGGGGGGTCCAACGGATCCGTGGGGACAACCCAATCCTTTAAGGAATCGCGTTTTCGTTCGACGTCCTCGCGATATGCCCAGGGATTGCGTTCTTGCGCTTAATTTCTGTACCATGTACGCGCTGTCGTCTAGACTTGTCGCTCACGCCTTCCGCACAGTTTACGCGGATATCGAGCTCTCGCTCGGTAGTTCTTCGCAATGTACTCAAGAATTCATGCGTCTTTCGCTCCCTTTTTCTCTCATACTGATTCCTCATTTGAGACGGTGGTGATGATGATGATGCCCTTGGCAACGTTGAATCGCGTTGTTGATGATGTTGGGGGTGAAGGCGGTGGTGAGTATGCTACTGGTGATGACCATGCTGATGATAGTGACGGTCCTGGTTCTCATGGCGACGATGGTGATGGTGATACCAATGATCATGATGGCGATGCGGTTGGTGATGGTTATTTTGGTGATGGTGATGTTTATTGTGATAACGATGCTGCTGGTGATGTGGATGTTGGTGTTTGATGCCGATGGTGATGATGGTGAGAATCGCGGTGGATGTGTGAATGCTGTTGGTGCCGATGATGATGACGGTGCATTTGTTGCTGATGCTCACGACGGTTATGGTTGTGTTGGCGCGATTGGTGATGATGTTGTTGTTGATGCGGATGGAGGGTTTATGTTGATACGGTGGCTATGCTGCTGGTGGTGGTGATGGCGATGGCGGCGATGGGGATGTTGATACCCGTGGCACGGGTAGGTATGGTGACGATGATGACGGCGACCATACTAATATTGATGCCGATGACGATGGCGACGAGAACGGCCGTGATGATGATGTTGTTGATTGTGCTGTTTCTCGGGATGTTGTCGATGACAACGATGATGCGGCTGGTGGTGCTGATGATGCCGATGGTGGTCGCAGGGGTGGTGGCGGTGGCGATGGTGAAAACTGTCGTGGTTCTGCTGGTAATGTTGGTGGCGATGGTGATGGCGATGGTTTTGACGATGAATGGTGTGATGATGGTGGCTGATGGTGATGGTGGTGATGACGACGATGATGCGGATGATGATGGTGATGTCGCTGGTGATGATGAGGATGCTACTGCTGATGCTAGTGATGCTGCTGCTGTTGAAGGTGATGATGGTCATGATGACGATGATGATGCTGATGATGATTGAGATTATGGTGATGGTATGATGATGATGATGCTGGTGGTGGTGGTGGTGGTGATGAGGATGGTGCTGCTGCTGATGATGATGATGGGGATGACGGCGATGGAGGGTGTGAGCGGGGAGGGCAGAGGGATGTAGGACGTACGCTCTGAGGAAGCGAGGGGTGATGATTAGCCAATGCGACGGCTATCTTAGTAAGGACGTTGGAATAATCCGTAGTAGTGCTTCTTTATCAAGGTTCCCTTAGTAAGGACTCTTGGATCAAAAGTTTCGCAGTAAAGTTTCTTCACGACTGTTTTCTTAATAAAAGTGTTCGAGTCAGACTCCAATAGTAAGGCTTCTTTATTCAGGGCCATTGAAAAAACTCTTGAGTCACATTGCCGTGGTATTGCTTCTGTAGGAAGGCTTTCTTAGAAAGGACTCTTGAGCCATTATATCTTCATTGAGGTTCTATTGGTAAGTATGGTTGAGGAAGGCCCCCTTAGCAAGGATTATTCAGTAGGGTTCTCCTTGTAAGGGCTATGGAGTAAGAATTATGCAGTCCAGTTTCTTTGTTGAGACTCTCCAGGAAGGACCCTTGAGTAAGAGCCCCATAGTAAGAACTATTCATTTAGATGTTTTTAGTAAGGACTCTTGAGTCAGAGTCCCGTAGTGGGGATATTGCACTGAGTGCCTCTTAGTAAGGACTCTTGAGCCAGACTCCCGTAGAGAACCTGCTTAACAAAGGTATTGTTATCAGTGACTCACGAGTAAGAGTCCCGTAGTAAGGCTTGATCAGGAAGATGTTGTTAGTAAGGACTCTTGAGTAATAGTCACGTAGGCAGGAAGATGCATTCAGGTTCTCTTAGTAAGGACTCGTGACAAATATTCCCATACTTCGGATTATTTAATGAGCTTCCCTTAGCGAGGACTCTTGAGAAATACTCCCGCTGTAAAGGGTCTTTACCAAGGTGTTCATAGTAGGGACTCTTCAGTACGAGTCCCGTAACAAGGATTCGTCATCAAGGTTCTCTGAGTAAGAAATTTTGTTTGCTACTCCCACAGTAAGGATTATGTATTAGGGTTCTCTGAATAAGAACTTTTGATTGAGACTCCCATAGTAATGATTTTGACGAAGGTCTCCTAGGACGGATTATGTAGTAAGGTGTTCTTTTTCCATTGGTGGTTCTTGATTGCATTTTTTGTTTGGGTTGTTGAGTAGACATGCTCCTTCCTAGGGATTCCTCATACTGGGTTTAGTATTATCGAGCTTGCGTGGGGACGACATGGCCTGGGAAGTTTCGCCGCTTGCAGGCGCTTTAGCCTCCTCGATGGGATCTGGCAACCGAATCAATCCCCAGTGGCGGCCGGCCCGGAAGTCGGTACGATGCGATGCGGTGTTCCCCCCCTTTCCCAGAGAGAGCCCGGCGTACCTCCCGCGGGGAGCGGCGGGGAAGCTCGTCCTAATGGAAGGGGCTCAGAAAGCCGGCGTTCCCTCCTTGTTGTTGTAGTTGTTGTTGTTGTTGTTGTTGTTGAACATTATTAATTCTAAAGAATAATTATTGTTGGGGCCCCTGGTGCACGGCCCCCCCGCCGCGCCTAGGCCGCAGCTACATGTTCATCATTTTTTCGCGAAAGCTTCAGAAAAGTGGATGGGGTCCAGATCCGGTTGTTTTGTTGTAATCCGTTTTCCCTTGCAAAAAAACACTATAAAATGACATTTCTTGTTCTAATATAATCAAATTTCAAGAATCCCTTGCAAAAAATAAGGTAAAGTGGACATTCGCGCGCGCAAGACGAAATCCTTCCAAAAGCTTAGTGTTCGGAGCGATTTTAACATAAAAACATCAAAAAACCAATGGTTTTTCAACAAAAAAATGTCAAAATCTCATCCCGCGCGCTCTTGCGGATTCGTAGGAAACCCAACACTTTTTAAACATTTCTGTCAAACGGGCTTTTGCGAGCAACTTTTTCGAACTTCTGCGACAACGGTTGCGCACCTGCCAGGGCCATCATCCCTGTCAAATAATACCATGCGGGACACATTCGTTTTTTCTTCGCGCGCGCACGCCGTCGTCGTCGGCCGCGGGGCCCTGAATAGTAGCCACGGTCGTCCGCATGCCACGAAGTGAAGTGTCCGAACGTCATAGGGCGGGAAGCTGGGTGTGGGTGGTGGCGAAGAGTCGTTTGGAAATTTGGTAGAGCTTGAACCGGCCCCCCCACAAAGTGGGGGTATTGGCTGGCGTCGCATGAAAACCCTGGCACTGGTGAGAACACTGAGCGTTCGGGTAAAGTGATTGTTGTTGTTGTTGTTGTTGTTGTTGTTGTTGTTGTTGTGTTGTTGTTGTTGATGTTGTTGGTGGTGGTAGTTTTTGTTGTCGTCGACCGGGCCCGCGACCCACCCGCGACCCACCCGCGACCCACCTGCGACCCACCCACAACCCACCCCCGACCCACCCCGCGACCATTCCCTCACTCTTGTCCGCAACTGCGGGGTGCTACATATCTTGCCGCTCCTAGGAGCCACGCGAATGGAGGACCATTCTTTTTCAAAACTGGACTCGCTTGAATGCCACGGCCATGGGACGTTCGTTCCTGAAGGGTTGTCATATCACTGTTGATGCGTATTGGATGTCACTACTCTGGTCCTTTCCTCCCTCGTACTCTCCTCTTGAAGAAGGGCCAGGAGGTCCCTGGCCCTTCCTTATCCATCTCCCTCCCTGAGGGAGGGCCCGCGGCCGCTGGCGCGAGGCAGAGCTGCCGTTGGACGAGGTCGCGTCCGCACCACGGGCGCCGAGACTCACTGCGAATGAAGGCAGAAGACTCGGGCGGGTGGTAATGGGGGGTGACCTAAATGTGGGGTGGAAGAAGGGGCTCTACAGGGGCCCTTGGGGGCGCAGTTTTTCGCTTAGTGGCTCCAGAAGGGGCACTAACGGGCCCTTTGTAGGGCCCTTACCCCCACCCCCCATGAAGGTCACCCCCCATTAACACCCGCCCGAAAGACATGGAAGAAGGAGCTGCAGCTGCGATAGACGGAGCCAATTTGACGTGGCAGCGGGATGGTGTGGTGTGCGTGCGAAGCCTGGGCAGGGCGTGGCTTGGCACGTTGTTACACATTCGTCGGCACCAGCAGCCAGGCACAGCAATGATTGAAGGGTGCGCAGAAGAATGATGAGCGTTCGATGCCTACGATGCCCTGGTTCGGTTTCAATCCGAGTGACTCTGGGGCTCGACCCATTCGTCAGTTTAGATGTGGCACCGTCGGCTCTCTGTGTTGGCCCACAGCTGGCCCCTGGAGGCCCACATTCATAAAACCGGTCGTCATCAAATCACGTTGTAGCAAGTTTGCTTGGCAGCCACAGTGTCTCATCACGCCCAACATTATCATGTTCATCCTCCTCTCCTGCAGGTCGGCATTCAGCGCCTCTGAGGGCGGTGTCAACGTGCCAGCAGTGGCGGACACGGAAAGAGAAGTGGTAAGAGGAGGGGGGACAGGAGAAGGACGAGTAGCAGGAGCAGGCCGCAGTCTGGAGGAAGAGGGGAGGGTGACGATGGGGGAGCAGCAGCAGGGGAAGGGGGCGCGCACCCTTCGAAACAAAGAGACATCGGACGCCCGCCCACCTCCCGCGGGCCGTGGTCCCTGGGCAGGGCCACTCCCTCACAAGCAAGATACCCCCAACGCCAAATCTACACCACGGGAGCGGATGCTACTGCTGGCCGTGTGCTGCTCAACGTCGTGTTGCCCAGCGACCTTCTGCACGAAGAGCTGCCACAGGGCGCGTCGCTGGTACGTGCCCGACGTCGTGTTGCACAACAGCATGCTGCGTGGAGTACTCCTCGAAGGCGTACTTCTCGCAGGAGCTGTTATTCAGCCCGCAGAGCGGGAGTCACGGCGGGCCCCCAAGAGAGAAACACGCACGCAGATGGTGCAATCAATGAGTGGTCGGGGTGCTGCTTCAACGAGGGTCGGCACAACTCGTCGCAACTTGTTTCGGACCTTTAGAGCGCAGACCGCTCGAGTTTACTGTAGATGTGCCCCAGTATGGTGTGGAGCAGTACATGCGTGAGGAGTGTCTAGAAGTGAGCCTTTCGTGGCTCTCGGATCGCAGATCACTCGAATTGTCTTGCGTTCCAGAAGAGTGTGAAGCAGGAGCTGCATGAGCGGTGGAGGAGGATCGAGGAGGAGGATCGAGGAGGATCGCACAGGAGGAGGAGGAGCGAGGAGGAGGGTCGAGCAGGAGGATCGCGGAGGATCGGTGAGGATGTGAGGATCGAGGAGGAGGAGGAGGAGGGTCGAGCAGGAGGATCGAGGAGGACTTGTGAGGATCGAGGAGGAGGAGGAGGAGCATGAGCATGAGCATGACCATATGACGAAGTCAATGAATCCACCACAACATAAAAGTCACCCACTGACCATCTCCAAGTAGAGGAGGGGATGGTAGGAGACGTACACTGCCAAAACCATAGAAATTGACAACGTTCAGTTGAGGTGAACTCGGCTCGATGCGCCCTTTGTTCAATGATGTGACATCGCATCTCTGGTCACCGGGCAACCCCCCAAAGGAGATCGCCTCCTTCACAGACAGCCCCACAATACTAATTCCAAGAAAACGTACCCGCAGAAAACGAATTGACCTCCTGACCTCGTCCAAGAAATTGTGCAAGCAACCGCACAGACCATACTTGTACAAGGCCAGAGAGAGCGACAGTGGACACGGCGGGATGGGGAGAAGGTCCCACAATCTCCCAATGCATACCACGAGCCGCCATTCCAGCACCACGCTTGAAATACGCCCAGACAGCAGGCGGGTGGGTCAATGCCAGCGGCTCCCCTCATCGACCCTGCACCTAGGGCGGATGTCCTCCACGTCGATCGTGACAGCAACACCCGCTCGCCTGAAATACGTTCAGACCGCAGGCGGGTGGGTAAATGCCAGCGGCTCCACCCATCGAACCTGCACCTGGGCACCTGGGGCGGATGTCCTCCACGACGGTCGTGACAGCAACACCCGCTCGCCTGAAATACTTACGCCCAGACCGCAGGCGGGTGGGTAAATGCCAGAGGTTCCCCTCATTGCCCCGGCGGCCTGGGACGGACCACAAAATCGATGCACATGAAAGCCTGAAAGTTGCGATGCAAAAGGACCCAGTCTGCACCCTGCCAGCACGAAAGCGACGTGGACGAAGTAAAACGAAAAAGTCGCACCTGGCCAGCACCGATGATGAAGTTGCTGAAGAAAAAAGCCTGCATGAATTTCTCCTGGTCTCAGCCAACCCATCGAGAACAGCAAGACCCACACCAGTGAATGCTGCAGGATCTTCAGGTTGCCACAAGCTCGCCGCGATGAGACGCCGAGAGCGGCTGCAAGACCAGTTGAAGCCAAAAGGGGGGGCCGCCCGGTCGTGCGCCGCTTGTGCTTGAGGAGGAGGAGGAGGAGGCGCCGCTTGACGGCACCCATGCCGCCAACCCTAAGCCCTCAGGAGGAGGAGGAGTAGTAGGAGTAGGAGGAGGAGGAGGTCAAAAACACGGACAATAAGATCGTAACAGGTGTAGCGTACCGTCGTTTTAATTAATCGTTTCATCGTGTTGTGAATCATATACAAGGAGGATTTGTATGTACAAGAAACTGCGGCACCAACATCATCGAATTGGACGCCTATGGACGTATTTATTCCATAAGGACCCTCCCGTAGCCACACCTTTCCTAGTGGGATACGAGTTTGGTCGGGCCTTCCCCAGCTTGGCACACAGCTGGGTCCTCAAAGTTCTCAATGTCCTGATGCTGCCGCAGCCGCTGGTCACTTTCACGGAGTTTCTCTTCTGTGGTGTATGCTGCTACGGAGCGATTGGCACTGATCTCATTCTACTTTTTTGGATCTGCAGTGGGATAATCCAGGGTTGTCCGAGTTCTGGCTGTATCTTCGCTTTTTGCGGCGGGTCCTTTTCATGACCAATTTCGACATCTCAATTTGTCGCAAGGATCGTGGGGTGGTGCGAGCCTGCGCTGATGACCTGGGTGCTGCGCTGCGTCGGCTGGAACATCTTCGAGTAATGCATCGTGTCTTCTCTACGGCACGAAGAGTAGCAGCGCTGGTCATGAAACTGAAGAAATGCGTGATCGTCCCCCTGAGTGGACCGCACACACCGGCCTTGCGTGATGAGTACTAACATGTCATTTCCAATCTAATTCCAGACTGGGCATCGATACCGATCAACGAAATTCTAAAGTATTTACGCATGTGGCTTGGTCCTGCAGCATCATGTCACCGCTCGCGATCACCGGTTGCGAAATGAAGATCGCGCATCTTCGAGCTGGCCATCGCAGGAGCTCCGCTGAGAGTGTTCTCTTACCTCTATCCTGTCCGCGTTGTCTCTGTCCTCTCCTATGTCTCCCAAGTTATGCCCATGCCAGCGTCGATACAACATACAGAATCGCGTTTTTCTGCCTTGATTTAAGGCGAAAGTAGGTTGAGTCGGTTGAGTGTTTTTAGGTTTTTGATGGTTTTTGATGCCGACGACGATTGTAATGATGGTGGTTATCAAATCGTAGTGCTGATGGTGGTGGCGATGGTGATGGTGATGATGGTGGTGCTCATCACATCCATAATCGCCATCATCACCATCACCATCATCACCATCACAACCGCCCTCACCATACCGTCATCACCATCCCCATCACCATCATCATCATCATCATCACCATCCATACCGTCAGCATCGCCATCACCATCACCATCGTCACCATTGTGGTCCGTAGGACTTGGCTCAAAATAGTAATGTCGTCGTCCGCTGGGGCGGTTTCCCCGAGCCCTCCAGCCTCGCCGTCCCTTCTCTTTTCGAGGGCAGCTTCGCCGAGCCATGCTTCTTCTTCGAGGGCAGCTGCTTCGCCGAGCCCTGCTTCTTCTTCTTCTCCAAGGGCAGCTTCGCCGAACCCTGCTTCTTCTTCGAGGGCAGCAGCTTCGCCGAGCCCGAGCCCGAGCCTTGCGGCCGCGTCGAGGGCAGCTTCGCCAAGCCGTGGCAGCTGCAACAGCTCGGACGCAGAATCGGCCGCGGCAGCTGCAACAGCTGCCGTGGCCGCTGCCGACGCAGCGGGCTCCGAAGAGGACAGCGGCTCCAACAGCGGCTCCGACAGCGGCTCCGAAGGGGACAGCGGCCCCAGCAGCGAGGCAGCCGCGGCTGCAAGAGCGAAGGCGAAGGCCGCCCCGAGCAAAGTAGTCGAGAAGTTCCCGCCTTCGTTGTCCATGACCCTGGAGGAGCACGTCGCCAGCCACGACTGCCCAAAGCACGTCTCCACCTGCGGCGCTTGCAAATTTTGGAAGAACAAAGAGAACTGGAGCGCCTCGATGTCTGCGACGAATCCAGTAACACTGAAGAGTGAAACTTGGATTGGCTGCGTTGGCGGGCGCAGCCCCGACTGTGGTGCGAACGCTGGTGGTCTGCATATTGGCGGAGGCGCTGTCACCTTCCGTCTTCGCGCACCAGAACGGCACCACGAACGGCACCACCCCCTTGGAATGACAATCCGATGATGTTTCCACCTCTTGCGCGTGGTCGCAGCGCTGCGAAACAAACGCTTGAAGCTTCCCACTGGGATCGATGGGGCAGCCCAGGCAAACTGAACCATTCGGGCCGTCCTTAGAGAGTATCGAAACCGACGTAGAGAACTGACTTACCTTTCGCATAGGCGGACTTGACGACAACTGACTCGTTTGGCTTTAGCTGAACTTCAAAACCGTTCCCTTGACCGTTGTAAGCGTCCGAATGGTACTCG